AAAGTGTTATTGTGTGTTTGTTTTCCATATGGGAGCTTGCATCTCCTTCATCTGTGTTATTCACAAGCTGGTCAAGCATTTAAAACATTCAGAAGGGAAATAAAACCCTCTTTCTCCCCAGAATATACAACTTCATCTTCACAATTGCACTGGAACCACAGACTTTTGACATGATCACACAGGACTTGTACCTGATAACATTTGAGACACCCTGGGGGACCCACTTGGTTTTGCATTTACTCTACTCATGGGAATGTTAGCACAAGAGTCTCAGGCCAGGTAGAGAAGATAGATAGGGCCCAGGACCCTTGAAGCCTGTGGTCCCCCCAGATTGACAGGTGGGTGACTCATAGTCCAAGGTGACCTGGTGGGTGATGTTATCCACTCTCCCTGCCAAGGATGATGGGGGTGGACGATGCAGTTTCCATGGGGTGCAGCAAGTATGTGGATTGTTGAAAAATACATCGGTTGGGCACTAGGCACCTTCTCTGCAGAGATGGAGAACACCCAGGAGGGCTGACATCTTTCAAGTGCACAGTGATGTGTAGGTCCATTGGCTGTAGCTGGTGACCAGGGATCTGTCTGCAAGCAGAGTGGAGTCGGGCTGGTCCTAAGAGCAGCTGAGGCATGGAGGTAGATCACAGGACAGGGAGGGAGGACAGAAGAGGAGGAGGGTGAGCTGTGGAGGACCACAGGCAGGGAGGGGGATGGAGGGGGATGATGAATGGGGTTACATGAAGTTATGGGGTTGGCCCCCATGGTGGGATTATTGCCCTTATGAGAAGAGGAAGAGACATCAGAGCTCACTCTCTCCGCCAAGTTGGGACACAGAGAGAATGTGCCATCTGTTAACCAGAAAGAAAGTCTGTTAGCCAACATGGAACCTGCCAATACCTTCATGTCGAACTTGCAGCCCCTAGAACTCTAAAATAAATGTCTATGTTTAAGTCCCCCAGTCTGTGGTCTTTGTTTTGGTGGCCTGAGCTGACTGAGACTGGGTAGCTCAGGTACTGGTCTGTGCTCAGAGCCTGGGTTTTCCCACTGGATACAGGCCTGGGTGTAGAGGGCATAGATGGGTTGAGGACGTGGTTCAGCCCCCAGGCTGCGGGTACCGGGCAGGAACATAATGCCCTGGTGCTGGCTCAGGAGCAGGGGGTGATGGTAGGCAGAGAGCAGCTCCCCCACCGCCTAACACTGGTGGGTCAGCTTCTTCCCAAGAGAGGCCCCAGGACTCTTACCAGATGGCCTTCTCTGGCTCCCCATTAGGCCCCTGCTAAGCGAAGCCCACCTTCTCTCCTCGGTGGGCCCAGCATCCCGTTCACCCTTGTCGCCGCACTGGAGTCATGGGGATGGGGGGCAGCCCTCCTGGGGCGTGAAGCATCATGTGCCACCCACACCACCTGCCCCTGTCCTGCCTGCGCACCCCTTGGGGCTGGGTCCCTAGTCCCTGGGAAGTGAAGGTCTCAGGATGGGGTGTCAGGGACCCTCACTCCCATGTAAAGATGCCATGGACACCCAGCCAGGCCAGATGCTGCCTGGAGCGACCAGGGATAAAGAACCCACCCCAGTCGCATGTGTAGTTAGGGTGGAGGGGTGCCGACCCTTGGGCACCTGTGCTGGGCTCCTAGCTGCTTGCCTCTACCAAGAGGCTGCAGGACTCTCAGGTGACTGGTCATCTTGGGGTGGTTCTGTTCCCCTCTGGGGGATGGTCCTGGGTGCTCCTGGGGGTGGTAATGGATCCCCCATTCTCCTTCCCTCCCTGCACTCCAGGATGCTGGTCTGAGCAGGGGTCCTCACGAGTTGGGGCCCCTGCCCCACCTGCAACATTATTGGAACACACAGGCCTCCTCCTCCCCCAGCCGCCCCGAGCCTCTGCCCTTTGCCTCCCTGGGGCCAGGGGTGAAACCAAATCTGAGGCAGTGACACCCAGGCTATTTTGGAGCTCGGCTGGGCGGGCTGGCGGTGGTGGGGGCGGGGTGGGGGCGGGCCCAGTCTCCTTCAGCTGATAGCACCCGCCTGTCCTTTTGTCCCTGTCCAGTTTGAGGACCGGCAGGAGTGCGGGCTGCTGGGTGGGAGCTTTGTCAGTCCTGGGCCCTCGGAGGGAGGTGAGACCCAGCAGCCCCTGCCCCAGCATCTGAGCGCCTCGCCTGGGTGCTGCCCAGTGCCCCTGGTAGAGACAGGTGAGGAGGCAGAGAGCAAGCGGGGTGGGGGGCCATGCAGTGCCCCTGAGGACGGCTCTGCTGAAGGTCATGGCTCTGGGGGATGGAGGGACCTGGGGTAGGGTTTCAGCCAGGCGGTGCTGCTCCTGGGGTTGGGGCCATGGATTCTAGCCCCTGCCCCATTGGTGAGCTGAGCCAGACCCTCATGTGGGGAGGGAGCAGCTGGGGGAGGAGGGGGGCATCAGAAGCACCCACCTCCTCCTTTGCCCAGTGCCCTGAGGGTCTGGCTGGCCCTGCCCCCAGCTCTGTTGAGATGGATGCCCGCTGACAGCTGGGGCTATTTTGGGCCTGTTGGCTCAGCCGAGGGGACAGCCAGAGGGCCAGTGACACCTGACTCCAGGAAAGAATTTCCCCTGGAGTTCAGGAAGCTGGAAGGCCCAGGGGTCTCAGGGAAAGGCACAGACTGCAGGAGCTTCCCTTTGAAGTCTTTTCTGGAAGGGTGTGGGGGCCACAGGGTTGGGGGCAAACTGGGGGCACAGGCCTTCTGGGAGGGGGCCGCCCAATGTTCTGCTATGAGGCTGTGAGCCACTTCCCACTCTGGACTCATCTGGAAAATGGCCCAAGACCCACAAGGACCCCAAGTTCTGGAAAAGCAAGGATGGAGGGGCTGTGGGTGTGGCATGGGTCAGCCACAAGGCTCCCTGGCAGGCTTGCAAGGGGGGAGGGTCTTGGCCTCAGAGTGAAGATCCTGCCAGTGCCAAGCTGGGGCCTCCAAGGGGCTAAGGAGCCCGAGTGGGGTCCACAGGGAACTGCCTTCCCAGGTGGGCATCTGTGAGAGGAAGAGGCTTCCTTGAGAAGCTGGAGTTGAGGTCCTGGCCCAGTGTCTCCTCCTGAAACTCCTGTTCTTCCCTTGTGGCTGCAGCTCCAGTAGCCCCAGCCCCCAACATGGCCGGGGGAGGAGGAGGACACTGCAGGTGACTCTGTGCCCAGAGGGGCCTTGGGTGGTCACTGCCCCACACTCAGCTTGGATGAAGGCAGCTCCAGAGTCCTGGGGCATACCTTGGGGTGCCTTGGCCCTGCTGCCCAGTGGGGATGCCTGCCTGGTATGGGGTGTCAAGGGGTGTCTTGTCTGGGTGAGCCCCCTTAGACCTCCATGGGTCTGCCGCAGTGAGGGTGGGGCATATAGGCCCTAGACAGGGAACGCATCCCCGGTGGCTTTAGAGGTTCTTGGGGTCTCTGCCCACCCTTCTGCACCTGCTGAGAGCTGGCTCCCCCTGAGCATGTGCAGAGATGAGATCTCCCTCCCCATCCCTGTCCTCCTGGCCCCCAGAGGCTGCCAGCTGTGGAATTGGCCCCCTGCCCCCTGCATATACTCACTTATGAGCTCAGAACAGTTGTCTCCCACAGCTGCTCTGGGTGTGGCAGGGGGAGGATGCCACGTCCTGCCTTGGGGAACCCACAGAGCAACTGTGTAATTCAGGAGGCGGTGGTGTGCTGGGAAGAGCCCAGAACTCAGGGCCCTGGGGAACTGGTGTCAAAGTAATCTTTCCACAGAGGGACGCTGAGGCCCAGGAGGGTGTCCATGGAGGCGGGTGGCCACCTGCCCAGGTCCTTCCCAGGCCAAGAGCCCAGCCAGGCCATGGGGGAGCTGGGGGCGGGGCAGAGGTGCTGACTGCACAGTGAGTCAGCAGGATGGTCCCAGCTTACCTCCTTGAAGGGGATTAAGGGGATTAGGTCCTAAATCACAGGATGGGGAGCTGGAGGGCCTCGGGACGTTGCCCCATTTGTCCCATGGTGGGCAGCCCATGCTGATGGCCCGGCTCTTGGGGTGAAGAGAGTTAAGGCACTTGGGGACAGCCCAGGGCCCAGTGGGGTCCATTTGTGTTGGCTCTCTTTACAGAAGCCCCTGTGTAGGCAAGGCCCAGTTTCACCTCACCCACCTGTGCTGGAGGCCAGCAGTGCCCAACCTGGAGTGGGCAGAGGCCAGAGTCAGCCTGGGGCCTTTGGCATTGATGGCGCCAGCCCCATCCCTGCAAGGTGTCCAGTCGGCAGAGCCACAGCCAGTGGAGCCTCAGCTAAGATCTGCAGAGTGACTACGTTACCTGCAGGAACCCCAGTTGGGCCTGGCTAGCCGGCCTGCCCATTCTCAGCCTGGAACTCCTTGCCTCTTTCTGGGGGATTCTCTGATTGTTCTCCACAGACACACCATAGACTGACTGCCCCTGACCCTCCCCATTCCAATTCCTGGGGGAAGGAAGCAGGCACTCAGGGTGAGGAGGGGTGGGCAGCCCTGTGTGCTGGAGAAGCCCCCACCCCACAAGCTGCAGGATTTTCATTTTTTGCTCATTGATGAGCACACCCCCTCAGGGGTCCAGAAGAGGAGGGGGATCCCAGGAGAGGTGAGATGTGACCCGGCCCAGGACAGCTTCAGGCGGGACAGGCCCTGTGTAGAGGGCTCTCTGTTGTGGAATGCCCAGTGAGGAGGGCTAGGCAGCTGTGCACACAGCCTGCAGTGGAACCCAAACGCTTGGGTGGGGGAAGTCACCGAGGTGGGAGGATGGGGAACAAAGCGGACATGCCAAACAGATGGCTCGTACGAGAGTCTGCTGGGGTGAAGAAGCTGTGACCTCTGGTGTACCTTAGAGAGAGGGGACAGGCCAGTAGTGGGCAGTCACTGTGAGCTTCCACAGCCAGGCCCTGTCAGAGTGCAGAGAGTGGCCTCTCTGTGACTGGGGGAGACTAGGTAGGTTGGAGTTTCAGACTCTAGGAAGCAACAGTGTGTGGGGAGGGGACAGGACACCTACTGGCAGGTGGAGTGGCCCAGGTGGGACAGGGAAGGAAGGTCTTTGTGATGAGGTACAGCGTGGCACATGCCGCACAGTGAGGAGGGCAAGCTTGGTGCTGGTGTGGTGTTTTGGGACAGGTGCTCAGCTGGACCTTGAGTTGGGGCAGCAGGCCTGGCGCTGGGACGAGAGGGAGGAGATGCTCCTGCCAATGAAAAAGAGCCTATTTGGGGGGTGGTGGTGGGTCCAGAAAGAGGAAAATCGACACTTCTGGACCACCATACCATCTGGTGATGCTACCTGCAGGGATGGGATGTGTCAGGGGAGACGGCACCCGGATGGGGAAGAGGGGCCATGTGGAGGGCTTTACCCTGGATTAAGCTGGATTTTCCAGGACAGGTGAAGTGGCCACGTGGGGAAAAGGCAGGGGGCTCTAAGCACAGCAGGGTCTCATCCCCACTCTGTCCTTCCCTCTCACCCCACTCGCAGATTCCCCCGCCTCCCCCCACCCCCACCACCATGGATCACTCCTCGTTCAGCGGTGCACCTCGCTTCCTAACCCAGCCCAAGGCCTTCGTGGTGTCGGTGGGCAAAGACGCCACGCTGAGCTGCCAGATCGTGGGCAACCCCACGCCGCAGGTCAGCTGGGAGAAGGACCTGCAGCAGGTGGAGGCGGGCACTCGCTTCCGCCTGGCCCAGGACGGCGACCTGTACCGCCTCACCATCTTGGACCTGGCGCTGGGTGACAGCGGGCAGTATGTATGCCGTGCGCGCAACGCCATCGGCGAAGCCTTCGCGGCGGTCGGCCTGCAGGTGGACGCCGAGGCAGCGTGCGCTGAGCAGGCACCCCACTTTCTGCTGCGGCCCACATCCATCCGCGTGCGCGAGGGAGCCGAGGCCACCTTCCGCTGCCGTGTGCGCGGTTCGCCGCCGATGTCTGTGAGCTGGGCCAAGGATGGGCGGCGCCTGGGCGCGCTGGACGCTCCCCGAGTGCGCGTGGAGGCGAGCGGCGAGGCGAGCGCGCTGCGCATCCTGGCTGCGCGGCCGCGCGACAGCGGCACTTACACGGTGCACGCGGAGAACCCGCTGGGCGCCGCTAGTGCCGCCGCCGGACTTTCAGTGGACAAGGAAACAGACACAAACTGCCCGCCTGGGGCCTCCACAGCCATGCTCCTGGCGCACCTGCAGCTGCGGCGCGAGGCCATGCGCACCGAGGGCGCCCCGGCCTCGCCGCCCAGCGCCTGCACGCGCACCTGCACGGTGACTGAGGGCAAGCACGCGCGCCTCAGCTGCTTCGTGACGGGTGAGCCCAAGCCTGAGATAGTGTGGAAGAAGGATGGGCAGCTGGTGGCCGAGGGCCGGCGACATGTGGTGTATGAGGACGCGCAGGAGAACTTCGTGCTCAAGATCCTCTTCTGCAAGCAGTCAGACTGTGGCCTCTATACTTGCACGGCGTCCAACCTCGTGGGCCAGACCTACAGCTCCGTGCTAGTCGTTGTGCGAGGTGAGCTCCTGGCGCCGGGCACAAGGTCACTGTGCGCAGTGAGCACAGGCAGAGGCTCCTCCCCAGGCCTCCTGTCTTTTCCTTCCAGCGTTGGCTGCTACTGCCATCTCCCCACCCTGTGCCTGTCTGGTAGAGGAATCCGTGGTTGGAGGTCTTGGCAGCTCTCGCTGTTCTGTTCCATTGTCTTTGTGAGAGTAACACGAGTATACAACAAAGTGCTTTGTCACTAACACCCCCTCCCTCTGGGAGATGGTCAGGGTGCCCAGTGGCTGAGCCTGCTCTCTCCAGGCTGAGGGTGACCAGGCTCTCCACCCCTCCTACAGGATGCTAAGGGGGTCTCCCTGGAGAGCTGGAAGGAGGGCAGGAGCAAGGACAAACCTTGCGCTGTCGGAGGCCTCAGGCTGGGGCTGCACCAGGGTGCAGCTTGAAGGTGGTTCTGGGTCAGTTTGCAGGCTCATGTCCAGGTCTGGGGGCTCCCCCAGGGCACCGGGGCAGCTGGCTGTAGGCAACACCATCAGAATTTGCTGGAGGGCTGTTTACTCTTGTTTCCTAAGACCAGCCTCTTGAAGTGGTTGGAGTCCCACCTCCACTTTTTACCAGCTGTAGGATCTCCAGCAGGGTGCTTCAACCTTTGTGTGTGTGCCTCAGTTTCCTCGTTTTTCACACGGAAGTGCGCTCCTGGAGTTGAGCAATTCCGCAGGCCAGTACTTGTCCAGTGGCCTCACTGCTGTGTGAACCCAACCCATCCTGCCTGTCCAGGACCAGCCTAGGGGCCTGCTCAGTGGGGCTGCTTGCTGTGGCTTCACCTGCCTCATTTCTCCTTTTCTCTTCCAGACGTCTCCTTATATTTTGGGTGGGGGGCTCTTTCCTTTAAGTTCTCTTCCCTCTCCTCTGTCCTCCCTCCTTTTCTATACCCCTACCTCCCTCTGTCCCCTCCTTACAGCTCCTCTGCCCTCCCACCCACCACCCTCTGTCCCCAAAGCCCCTCCAACCCCTGTCCTGGCTCCCTGCCCCTACCCCAGCCTTACACGTCCCTTTACCCTGCCCCCCTCCTTCCGCTCACCCTCCTCCTCGCCCCCTGACCGCCCCCTCCGTCACCCCTCCTGCCTGCCCCTCTTCCCTCTCCGCGCCCCACTCACCTGAGCTCTTTTTCCGCAGAGCCCAAGGTGCCCTTCAGAAAGCGGCTGCAGGACCTGGAGGTGCCAGAGAAAGCGTCGGCCACGTTCCAGTGTGAGGTGCCGCAGCCGCCCATGGAGACTGCGTGGTATAAGGAGGAGACGCGGCTGTGGGCCGGTGCCAAGTACCTCATCGAGGAGGCAGGCGCTGAGCGCCGGCTGACCGTGCTCAACGTCACCTCCGATGACGATGCTGTGTACATCTGCGAGACGGCAGAGGGCAGTCGCACGGTGGCCGAGCTGGCGGTGCAAGGTGGGTGGGCAGGGGGCCCAGAGACTGGGCAGGGTCTGGGTCTCACAGGAGCTGGGCAAGCGGCGTAGGTAGTGGGCGGGTGGGGCGGGCAGGACCCTGGCACGAGGGGTGTGTCAGGGAGGGGTGGGGTGGGCACTCAGGGGACAGGGGCGGGAAGGAGGTAGGGGTGGGACAGGCCTACAGGGGTCTCTCTGACCAGCTGCAGCCTTTCCCCCTCCCCTTCCCCACTGCTTCTCTGCCCACCCCAGGCAACCTCCTTCGAAAGCTCCCGAGGAAGACAGCTGGGCGAGTGGGAGACACGGCCGTGTTCTGTGTGGAGCTGGCCAAGCCAGAGGGCCCCATCCACTGGCTGTGGAACCAGAAGGAGGTGGTGGCCGGGGGCCGAGTGGCCATTACTGCCGAAGGCACGTGCCACACGCTGACCGTCTCCCAGTGCAGCCTGGATGATGCCGGTGAGGTGGCCTTTGTGGCTGGGGGCTGCCGGACGTCCACCCAGTTCTGCGTGTCAGGTAAGGGCCTAGGGAGTACCTGTCACACAGAGGGTACACTGCCCACAGTCCACTGGGCCCTGCTCTGAGTTGTCGCCTGTTGCGGGGAGCGCCGTGCAGGGCAGGGAATGCCTAGGTTGTAGCTCTGGTTCTCTGGGGCTCATGGTTTGTTTGACACCCTCCTCCACTGTGGTCACACTAGGCATCTGCAAAGTAGGAGTCCTGGTGGCCCCCCACCCTGTGAACCAGATTGGAAAGTGCAGGTTGTTCTAGAAGCACGGTGTGTAGGGGGTGACATTGTGGGTGTGTCCTCTTTCTGTGGCCTTTGGTGTTGAGATTGGCTCCCCCAGGGTCAGCCCTTGGCTGGGGATAGGGACCCTGCACGTGGGTCTCAGCACCCTTGGAAGGGTCATTGTGCCTTGCCTCAACCATCATCCAGCCCAAGACCCCAATGGAGTCAAGGCTGAGGACTGGAAAGAGTTCCTTTCCAGACCACGTGGACAGCTCAGGGTGGCCCCTGAAGCCCGGGCACTCTTTCCACTGCAAACAGAGAAATGGCCACAGAGCTGAGACTGGGGTTATGGGCTCACAATGTCCTCTTGGGCTGGCAGTCCCCATGAGGCTGAGGCCATTTCAGACCACCAGGGCAGTGCCCCTGGGGAGGGCTGGGAATTCTGTGACAACCCCTTTATCCTACTGTGACCTTGGAGCCAGGGCTTGGGGAGGGGGTTCCCAGTTGTTGACATGGGCCCGTGCTCTGCTCAGCCCCCAGAAGGCCGCTCCTGCGTGCTCCTGAGGCCCCTGTGGTGAAGGCCAGGACAGAGAGCTCCGTGACCCTTGGCTGGTCACCACCACCCCATGGGGACCGCCCTGTTGCTATCGATGGCTACCTGGTGGAAAAGAAGAGAGTGGGCACCTACCCCTGGAGCCGGTGCCATGAAGACGAGTGGGTGGCTATGCCTGAGCTGACTGTGGCTGGTGTGGCCGAGGAGGGGGAATTCCAGTTCAGGGTGTCAGCTGTGAACAGCTTTGGCCACAGCCCCTACCTCGAGTTCCCGGGAACTGTACACCTGGGTAAGTGTGGAAGGTTCTGTTCTCCCCAGCACCCTGGTAACAACCTGTGGGGCCATCTGCCCCTGAATCACCCAGACCCAGAGTGTGGCCCAGCCTTGGAGAGGCCAGAGTGACTCATGGGTCCTCTTTACGGCAGTGGGGTGGGCCCAGGGTCCTGATGCTATTGAAGACTTTTTTGTGGGAAGGCCAGGGGACCCAAAGACAGGACTCAAGCCCCACAGGAACCTATCTGTATCCAACAGCCCCCGGGCACTGGGCTACACAGCTGCCCTGCCACACTGGGTTTGTGGGATCTGAAGGGGATCTCGGGTGGCTGTAACTTGTCCTCACTCCACCCTGCATCTGACTTTTGCTCGTGGTCTCCATGCGCTTGTCCAGTGGACTTCCTAGAGCAGGGGTTATTTGGGCCCAGGCATTGGAGGAGAGGAGGGCAGGGGCCCAGCTCCTTCCTGAAGCCCCCATCCCACAGCCCCGCAGCTGGCTGTGAAAACACCTCTGAAGGCGGTAGAGGCAGTGGAAGGCGGCGAGGTGACCTTCTCTGTAGACCTCACTACGGCCTCAGCAGGGGAGTGGTTCCTGGACGGGCAGGCCCTGAAGGCCAGCAGTGTGTATGTGATACACTGTGATGGCACCCGGCACACTCTCACCATTCGCTTGGTGCCTGTCAGCCTGCACGGGGCTGAGCTCAAGTTCGTGGCCAATGGTATCGAGAGCAGCATCCGCATGGAGGTCCGAGGTAGGGGGACCCCACCCCATGACCCTGGGGCCCCTCTGAGCCCCATTTCCTCCAGGAGTGGGGGCGGGATGGGGTCCCTGGGGTCTCAGGGCTCGGAAGATCTGTCATTGCTCCTGGGGCAGGCGGGCTGCTGGATGAAGTGGGGCCAGGTGGTGGGGTGTGCAAGGTCACCGGGTGTGAGTGGAAGAGGGGCTAAAGTGTCCCCGATGGCGCCAAGCTTCAATTCTCTGTATGCCCCCCTTCCCTTCCCCTTCTCCCCTCCTCCCTCTTTGTTGATTCCTTCTATGCCACTTCTTGTCCTGTCTCTGCCTTTCTTGCCTCTCTGACTCCCCTCCACCATATCTGGCTCTTCCCCCTCTGCTCACTCTGCCTCGTTCCACTTCCCCCTGTCCACTTCCCCCTTCACCCACACCCCCTTTTTCCACCTGTCTGTGACTTCCAGCAGCCCTGGGGCTGACGACCAAGGGTCCGGCAGCAGCAGTGGCAGCACGGGAGGTGCTGGCCCGGCTGCACGAGGAGGCCCAGCTCCTGGCCGAGTTATCGGACCAGGCTGCAGCTGTGACGTGGCTCAAGGACGGACACGCACTGTCTCCAGGCCCCAAGTATGAGGTGCAGGCGTCAGCCGGGCAGCGGGCACTGCTAGTGCGGGACGTGAAGCAAGAAGACGCAGGCCTGTATGAGTGTGTCAGCCACGGGGACCGCATCACCTACCAACTGTTGGTGCAAGGTGACACCAGTGTGTGTGTGTTCATGTCCTCCCTGGGCCGCCGCCGTGGCCAGGGCCGCGCATTCTGTCCCCCAGCTCTGGATAGGCTCTGGGGGACCTGGGTAGCAGGAGCCGCTGTTCTCTGTCCCCGTGGGGACGGTGGGGGATCAGGGGCTCTGTCAACTCCCTGAGGAGGGTGGGGAGTCAGATAGGCTCAGGTGACCCTGTGGGGAGGGCAGGGGTGTGTGTGGGGTGCTCAACCCATGCTATGGAGACAGTGGGGGGGTGGGATGGAGTCAGGTGACCATGTGGGGAGGGCAGGAGTCTGGGCAGCTCTGCTGACCTTGTGACGAGGGTAGGGGGTCGGGCAGGCTCAGGTGACCCCCTGAGGGTAGGGTGGGGAACCAGGGACCCTGCCAACCCCGTTGGGAGGGTAGGGGTCAGACACTCTGCTCAGTAGGGGAGGAGCTTCCTATGAGTGGGTGGCACTTGGGTGGTTGAAAGTCAGCAGCTGAGGCTGGCCCTGTCTCTGAAGCGGCCTAGGTTTGGGCGAGGGCCAGTGTCTCCCATGATCCTGAAGCCCTGAGCACCTTCCTCTGCTAGCTGCCTGGGCACGTGTGTGGTTAGGGCTCTGTCAGCCCCCTGACCTGCCCATGTGCCCTTGTAGGCCTTACATCCTTTTTTGCACAAGGACATGGCTGGTGGCTGTGTAGACGCCATGGCTAGGGGCTCAGCCCACTTTGAATACCAAACTTCAGAGGCCCACATGTGTGTACACTGGTACAAGGATGGGGTGGAGCTTGGTCACTCCTGCCAGTACTTCTCACAGGAGGACATGGGCACACAGCACCGGCTGGTGGCTACCTCAGTCACCATGCAGGATGAGGGCACCTACTTGTGCCAAGTGGGCGAGGACTCTGTGGACTTCCGGTCGCGTGTCTGTGGTTAGTGCACTGCCTCCCAGGCTTGGTGTGTGGGGAGCAGGTCTGGCTGCATCCAGCTGTGCAGCACTTGCAAGGCCAAGCTGTCTCTCCCTTCATTTCTTCTGAGAATACTTGGGGATAGGGGCAGTTACTTCTGAATTTGGGTGAAGAAACGACCCATGAAACTAATATATATAGGTGAAGAATGCAGGCCTGGAAAATAAAAGATAAGAAGGAAATTTAAAGCCCTTGTCCTCTTTTTAAAGATGAGGAAATGAGGCAGAGCAGACCTAGAAAGTGCTGGAAGTGTCCTTGGAAGGTCAGATTTGGATCTTGGTGAATCTGAGGCCCTGGCTCTTTCTAGAAGCCATTGAGGTCTCTTGGCAGATTTTCCAAGTCCAGTTCTGCCCCATCTTGGCCCTCAGAAGGGTCTCTGCCATGCCGCCCATGCCTCCTTCCATCTGAGCACAGGCACTGGGGCTGGGCTGCCCATCATGGAGCTCTGAGGCTGCTTTCCATCACACCCAGGAGGGGTTGGGGTACCTGGACCATCTGTGCCCATGGAGGGTTCCATGTGCAGCACCTCATCACAAAGGAGCCTCATGGGGGGTGGGATCCGAGGCTGCCTGGGGTCTAGAGCAAAGCTCTGTCATGGCTCCAGGACTTGGGAAACCTCACCTTGGCAGAGCCTCTGCTGTGTATCCTTCCCTGTTGCCAGAGTCCTCGGCGATGTTTGCCAAGGAGCAGCCAGCACTCAGGGAGGTACAGGCCGAGGTGGGGGCCAGTGCCACACTGAGCTGTGAGGTGGCCCAGGCCCAGATGGAGGTGACATGGTACAAGGATGGGAAGAAGCTGAGTGTGAGCTCAAAAGTGTGCATGGAGGCCAAGGGCTGCACCCGGCAGCTGGTGGTGCAGCAGGTGGGGAATAGGGATGCTGGGGAGTACAGCTGTGAGGCCAGGGGCAGAAGGTCTCCTTCCGCCTGGGGTGTCACAGGTCAGTTGACCATTTCATAGGAACGGGCCTGGAGGAACCAGGCCTGTTTTCAGTGCGGGTGACGGCAGTGCTCAGCTGACTCATCAGGCCCGAATCAGTTATACAAATAACCCCAGAACTTAGTGGCCCAATGGAACAGTCTGTGGGCAGGAATTCAAGCAGTGCTCAGCATGGGTGGCTCATCTCTGCTCCACCTGGTGTTGACTGGGACAGGAGGATCCAGTCTGGCCTCATTTGTGTGTCTGATGTCCCAGTCAGGGGGCTGGCTGTGATGACAGGCCTCTCTCTTCTAGTGATGTTGTCTGGGCGCATTCCTGTCTGGGACCATGCTGTTCTCTCCTCCGGGGCTATGCTCTCCTTGTGACATCTCATTCTCAAGGCCTCTTTCTCCATGTGGGTAGCCTGAGCTCCTTCATATTCTGGCTGGGTTCCCTTTAGGGATTAGGAGATGCTACTGGGTTTGTTAAGATTTGTTTTCACCAGTCCCAGAATATTACATTTTGTGTGTTTTATTGCACAAAGCCAGACATAAGGCCAGCCTAGTTCCAAGGAGTTGGAGAAGTAGACCTCACTGTTGATGAGGAGTCCCCTGGTTAATTGGGGACAATTTCTAACAATCTACCACAAGGACACAGGCTCTATCTGTCTAGATCTTTGCTTTCTTGAGCATAAGATAAAGATCTTTCTAAAGCTTATTGCCTCACGGTCACAAGATGGCTTCCCTAGCTCTAGCCATCATGTTCAAGGTGGGAAGAACATGTAAGGATTGTGTGTGTGTTTGTTTTTTTCCTTTTCACTGCTGTGCAGTAAATTATCACAAACTCAGTGGCTTAAAATAATGCCCATCTGTTAGTTCACAGTTCTATAGATCAGAATTCAAGATGTGGATTCTAGATTCTCTTTTCAGGGTCTCAAGGGCTGGAATCCATATGCCATCTGGCTGAGTTCTCTCAGGGTCCTTTTCCAAGCTCATCCAAGTTGCTGGCAGAATTCATTTCCTTGTGGTTCTGGGTCTAAGGCTATTTCCTGGCTGGCTGGCAGCCAGGGGCTGCCCTTAGGTCCTTTGCCACATGGCCCCTCATGTCCATTCCCTCTTATGCTCCAAATCTCTTTGGCCAGGAAGAACCCCCTCCCGTCTAAGGTCTCACCTGATTAGGTCAGGCCCAACCAGGATAATCTCCTTGTTAATGAACTCATAGTCAACTGATCTGGGACCTACATTCCTTCTGCAGAATCCCTTCACAGCAGCGCCTGGATTAGTGTTTGGTGGAATAGCTTGGAGAAGGTGCGTGCATACGGTGGTGCACGGATCTTGAGGCAGTCCTACCTAGCACAGGGTGTCACCTGCTCTTTCTTCTATTCAGAGAACAGATGCTCTCTGAGGAGCCCACAGCAGATTTTCCCTATGCCTCCTAGTACTGTGTGGGTCCGACGGCCATGCCTTGCTCAGACACCTGGGAAAGTGAGTCCTAATCTTCCAGCTTCAGCAGTGGAACATTGAGGGTGGTAGAGGTGGGCATCTGGTGGTGTGGCTGGCCTGGTTCTGCTGAGGGATCTGTCCTGCGGCACTGGCCCATGCCCACATCAGGGTGGCTGTGCCCTGGTTTTGGACACTGACTTCGAGGCAGGCTGTGGAGGGATCAGAGTGAACATGGTCAGACCTCACTCCTGCCTCTTAAGAGACAGGTGACCTTAGGCAAGTCGTCAGTGTTGTGTCCCCCTGAAGTCTGTCTGGAAACTCAGAATGTGGCCTTAACTGGAAATGGGGTCTCTGCAGACAACATCAAGGAAAGGATCACAAGATGAGATGACCCTGGATTAGGGTGGGCCCTGACTCCAATGACAGGTGTCCTTTGAGAGAAAGAAGAGGGATATTCGCGATACAGATACACGGGGACATGGCCAATGACAATGGAGGCAGAGATTGGGGTGATTCAGTCACAAACCCCGGGATGCCTGGAACCACCAGATTATAGCCATCCTGGTGGATGTGAGGTGGTATCTTATTGTGGTTTTGATTTGTATTTCCCTGATGACTAATGATGTTGAGCATATTTTCATATGTATTTGGCCATTTGTGTATCTTCTTTGGAGAAATGTCTATTCAGATCCTTTGCTTGTTTTTTAATTATTTATCTTTTTATTACTCAGTTGAAAGAGTTCTTCATATATTCTGGATAGTATAGCCTTATCCTATATATAGTATAGTATAGCCTTATCAGATATATGATTTGCAAATAGTTTCTTCCATTCACTTTCTTAATTGTGCCCTTTGATGCACAAAAGTTTTAAAATTGTGATGAAATCTAGTTTATCTTCTTTGGTTGCTTGTGTGTTAGATGTCACATCTAAGAAATCGTTGCCCAATCCAAGGTCAAATAGATTGACACCTATGTTTTCTTCTAAGAGTTTTCCAGTTTTAGCCCTTGTATTTAGGTCTTTGATCCATTTTGTGACAATTTTTGTGTATGGTGTGAGTTAGGGGTCCAACTTCATCCTTTCCATTGGATATCCAGTTGTCCCAGCGCCATTTGTTGAAAAGAATTATTCCCCATTGAATTTTTTTGGCATTCTTGTTGAAAGTCAATTAACCATTAATTAAGTATTTACTTCTGGACTCTCAATTTTATTCCATTGATATATATGTCTACCACAGTCTTGATTATTGTAGCTTTGTGGTATGTTTTGAAATTGGGAATGTGAATTCTTTAACTTTTTTTTCAACATTGATTTGGCTATTTGAGGTCCCTTGCATTTCCACATGAATTTTAGGATCATCTTTTTAAGTTTTGCAAAAAAGGCAGCTGGTATTTTGATTGGGATTGCATCAAAATGTGTAGGTCAATTTGGGGAATATTGCCATCTTTTTATTTTATTTTAAAATTTTATTTATTTATTTTTGGCTGCATTGGGTTTTTGTTGCTGCACGTGGGCATTCTCTAGTTGTGGTGAACAGGGGCTACCCTTCGTTGGGGTGCGCAGGCTTCTCATTGCAGTGGCTTCTCTTGTTGCGGAGCACGGGCTGTAGGCATGCAGGCTTCAGTAGTTGTGGTGCTGAAGTGGGATCTTCTCGGACCAGGGATTGAACCCATGTCCCCTGCACT